GAATATACTCAGTATCAGCCGCAGAAACATAATATTTTGAGATTATTATTGGTTTATTCAAACAGCTACTTTTCTGCTGAAGCCACGTAGAATCAGCAATAATTGAATCAATAAGTGACCATTTATCGAGAGTCACTATGAAATTCATCTAGAGAAACCCCAACAGTCTAGAGTTATAGCATTAATTAATTCCGAGATTTCTTCTAATATGGTTTGTCACATGTGCTTGTGGCCTTTGAACACACTAACCACCAATACTGGAGTACAATCAAGGAGGCTTTATACAATCTCCAATTATTATCTTTTCACTGCACATGACCGCGAACCCAATCTCAAGCTTGGCTGCGATGATACCCATCTGAATTGCGCCCTTTTCCCTATATTCCCATGCACCTTATCAGCGACAACCAGTCAGAGTATTCGATTACAACATCGTGTCAGTAAATGACGATTGGGGTCGAATCGAAGGAAGGGAAAAGAGATTCTTGCTCACTACATTGCTCAGGAAATTCGGACTACAATACCCTTATTCTCTCCCTAGCAGCAGAACTATTACCGATTATTGTTTTCAAGGTCACGGATGTTTTTTTTTTATGAAAAATTATCCCAAGTCATTTCAAATCAACAAAAACATGAATTAAACCTAGAAATGAGTAACTTTGAAACAGAGAGCAATGCCTGAAAAAAATAATTTTCATGAGAAAAAGCTGAGATTGGGAAGAAGTTGAGACAAAGGTATGGTAGATTAATTGAATCGAAGAATCTGATGCAATCAAACTGTGTTAGCTCATTGAGTGTAACAACGAAACTATTATTTCATATTCATATTCACGATTGGTCAGTTTTTTTTATTCTTTATTGAAAACATTTACATATTTAATTACATAAAACTTCTGAAAGGGACAGTAGTTATTTTATTCATTTTACATTAATTGATTCATTGATTGATTCTACTACACTACACATGATTGGAAATATCATAGACTACAGAAGATAATCTATTAATCTTTGGAAATATCGATATAGGTTGGCATCATAGAGAGAGAAAATTCTGGAACTGTTGCGCAGCATTTGTTTATGGTCAGCTATATTTGCGTGAAGAGGAGTATCAATTACATATGAGATTGAATTTACAACACAAAGAATTACAAACTCATTTTTAATTTTATCACCCAATGTGAAATTGAAATCTATCAATTCGTCTAAGTAACATTTGGATTTCGTGAATTTTTCGAGAATTTCTAGATCACCGATGTGGCTGTTCTCAGTGTAGTAGGCAAAAAAAGGAAGCAAAAACTAAAACTTACCTCAATTGAGCGAGATGACGAAAATGTTACCCTTATGAATATGCTAGAGATCATATTATTCAAGGATACAGATAATTCATTGTTGTTTTCTGCTCTGGCCGAAATTAATCGAGAGATTTATTACTTGAAACCATCTAAAGCACTCACACAAAAATATATCTATTCCACAAATAGTTTCTCGCTTCCAAAATGTGAAAAACATAATATACTGTTCTCACATGACCTGACAGGGTGTGTTACTAGGTCAACATCTCGGAACGGAGAGAAAAACTTGTTTGTAAAAATATTTGAAACAAAACTCGTCTTACAGACAAATGCTGCTCTGTTTCAATAGAAAATCGAAAGGATTCGTACTCTACTCGTCTCAAATGCATTCTTGCTTCATATGGATGTTAATTGTTCTCTGTTTTCTGAATCATCACATGTTACAAATGTTTGAGAATTTTTCGACATACCTTATTAAAATAATTTCACTACAAAATATTTCCAGGTACCAAAGTTTCGTTTAGGCTAGAGCCAAAAATAGGAGAGCGGTTCAACGGTACACTTTGCCACCGACAGAGAATGCGGTACATGAACATTTGAAACGTGTGTATTTTCAAGTGCAGTCGTGGTTAGGCGATATCTTGCAACCTGAACAGCTTGATAGGTAATAAAGGGAGTACATTCCGATGCTAGTGACAATGACACAAGATCCAGTATATCCTCAAGACTCTGTTCTGCAATCGCAAGAAAGGTTGAGCCCCAGAAAACAGACTTTCCTAGTCCAGGTCACGAAGGGTCGGCCTAATTATTCAAAAATCAATTTAGAAATGAGAGTCATGGACCATTTGTCTTTACTATCTGATTATATATTATGAACAAAACAGCGACACATGAGACGTGTAGACTTCGATGTATATGCAATTACGAAAAGACTTCTTGTCCCATCAAAATCGAACCTTCTTCAACGAAATCCGAGGTCACATGCTAATACACAATTATCCTGGTTAAGTTCAGTTGAATATGACGCATTATATTTTTACAATAGAAATGGATTTCGCTTTTTAGTAACTGGAGTTAATCACCAGAATTTCAGGAACATTGAGAACATCAATTCGTTTTCAACCATAACATCTGATATATTACATGTCTACATGGTTACCCAAATTGGCCCAATATATTTTCAACGAGAATAAAATACTCGAAGTCGGTCGACCACACTTTATGTAAGAATATATAAATTGAACAGAAACCAGTTTCGGCATAACGGCCATCATCAGACTGCAATAACTGGCATTTATTAGGTTGACCATGAGAAAGAGGATAGATTTTATTTACGAGTTCAAATTGTCACATGTCGACTAGAAAAAATTGGTTCAATGGAATAATCAAAAAATTTACCTGGCAAGCTGACATATGAAGACACAAACTAACGAACATCATAAAACAAGAACTGGTGTATGACAGATGGTTGCCAAATCATCAACCCGAATTGCGAAGAGGCAGAAATATAGTTTGATAGAAAAAAAGAAGAAAAGAAAATAAGGACAAGAAATTCAGAAAGTGATTATATGAATGAGTGATTTTAGTCTACGAATGAGTTACATATACCAAGATCAGTATGACACTGAAAAGTGTCAAACTATGAGCAGCACAACTTTCAAAGAGAAATATTTTGCATTTACATAATGAGAACGGCAGCAGATTCGGTCCCGAAACGTCCAAAGATAAGTAAAAATTCGATGTTTCTTCAATATAGCTATATTTCTCACCTTCAAACATTTTTTCAAACAAATTGTTACTGACAAGCTACTGGATTTTTCTTTTAGACTCCCTGATAGGAAAATTTGTTAAACGCAGTGACATTTTGGGGCAAATCATCTGATTTGTCCCACTTCAAATATATTAAAATAATACGAATATTTTTATTTTATAGAAACGAGAAGGGAAAATCCCAAAAAAACAAGTAAAATGAAAACTATAATAGGGTAATTATGTGAAACAAACTCAAATATAAAAAAACGCAATGTGCGGAAGATGATTTCGTTCAAAATTTGTTTGATCATTGAGATGAGAGAAATGTTGGTTGTTGTTGCACTTTAGAATTTCAAGAATTTCCAAGAGATTGAGTCTAGTATGGTCTATCCGGGTTTGAAGTTCTGTTTGAAGTGTGTTCACGCGCGGCTCGAGATGCTCCAATTGACTTTGGATAAACTATACCTCTATTACATATATGGAGAATGTCAGAATTGGTAGAAACATAAAAAGAATGATCTGAGTCGATAATATGATTGTCAAAGGAAGGAGGGGAATTCGGATCATTCGCGGACAAACATTTTGTTATAAATAAATTGTGTTCAGAAAAACGAATATCGAAACATCTACCTGTTTGACCAATATGAGTGGCATTACAATCATTGAAATACAATATCTGAACGCTTGATTTTTCCTGCAGACGTATCTCATCTTTGGAACTATCTAATTAATTATCAGAGGTTGTTTCCTATGTCTCGAATGTTTCGATAGACAATGTCATCCGCAAAATCATTAAGCAACAAGCTGTCGTAATAATCGCCGGATATTCTCAGAAGATAAAATCACTCGTGGTCAAACATATGATGGATTAACTTCAAGATGTCTGAGAAATGATAATAGCGGGGAGCAAATCAGTAAATGATCGAATAACGATAAGTATCATTTCCGTGACAGGTTAACGATCGTATCATCGCTAATGAGTGCAGTTCTATGCGATGAACTTGCAGCAACAGGCATATAACTCACTAGTAGTTATTCATCTTCATGTGGCAGGAAGTTCATCATCAGCAGAATTGTTATTGCTATCAGAGGATTTCAATATGCTGCTCCAATTCGTAAATGTATAACGGTATTAGGAATTCTTATAATGGTAGCAAGTAATATCTCAGCAAGAACTCTAATAGCTGTATTCCTCTCAGTGGACCCTTAGCATTACAAAGCTCAAAGTCAACTATACAATCGCAATCAAATCAGCATACTCATTAAAATCTCGCTAGCAACCACTATCTAGATTCTGGCTTCGAGTATCCTTGTTTTGATGGTCACGAGAACCAATATATTGATTCTAACATAAAGTGCGAGCAACAGGTTCGCAGCTTCAGAGCAGAGTGCGTATACATATACCGGCTAAGAAATGATATAATAGGAGCTCTTCATCTTTTGAGAACACCTCCAAAAGTTGAAGAATAATACAAATGATCGAGTGACGAGACGAGAGAACGCGTGCGCTTTCCATGCCAGCAGCATCTTATAACCAGGTGGCGCGCTTATACATTTTCTGCTTGGATCTGGATTCTCTACCACATCCACATTCACCCCTGAATCAGTTCCGAATCGGCGGTGCTCCCTCAATCCAGCGCCCGATGTTTCGCTCCCACGGATCGACGCGCGCGGTTCTCGTGCTACCACAAACTTTTACAAACTTTTCGCAACTTCCCGAAAAGTCATAAACTATCGAAAAACCTTCACAGTTAGCTGCTTTACTAGATCGAGAGTAGTATGCGCTGCCAACTATAACTTCTTTCAAACATGATGAATTATTTCATGAGATATGTGATATTAGCTTTGTTATTACTGGATTTCTTATCCGGACATATGTATTCCAAAGATCCTCAGATTAGACATAGTAGGACTCGTTTCATCAGAAACAGGCGTCACGGTAATCATTTTCTCAAAATGCAAAAATTATCTTCAGATTTAGAAACAGTAGCGAACTTGAATGAATACACGATAGTAGAACCATCAGCAGAGATACATGACAACTCAACTATAAACATATCCGATGAACAAATTATAGTGAAATTGGCCGCTAAAGGTCCACATGCTCATAAAGGCGACAAAGATACGGCAGGAAAGAAAGCCGATGTCAACATAAATATAAAAGTAAATACGAACAGCCCCATCCATTCAAATAGCAGCTGGCAACACATCGACAGAACGGTTTTATACATGGGAGAAAAGCGGATCCTTAATAAAATTGATAGCGAAAGCAACGATACAACATTGGATATGGTGCAGAAGGCGGGAGAAGTAAACAAATCAGGAGACTACCAGCCGGGCCAAAAATCATCGAGAAGAGCTGAGAGTGGTCGAAGTGGTCAAGAAGACATTGTAACGAGATTTTTGCGGATCGTGGAATCCCAGCATTTGATGGGGGAAAACTGTACGGCTGGAACCGATCTAAATTTGGGAGTCGGTGTTGTGGACCGTTACGCTCAAGAGCAGTTTCGCGTGGAAGCAGATATATGTGTTAATAGAGCCAATATGTTGACTAGAATCTGGAAATACGCGGACTCTGAGGCGCTCAAATCGACAGACTTGCTGTATTCCATGGTATACTCCTTAGTCGAATTCAATGATGTTATTTTTGCCGCTGGCAATTGCTACGCCGAGCATCAGTTCAAGGACCATTTACTTTTTTGTGCCTATGCTTATCGACTACCCGAAGGCAATATCCTAGTGAAGGACCTCTCTGTCGAATACGATTATTTGGGAAATACGTCTGAATGGTTCTACATTGCCAGAAAAAATGCGGAGAAAGTCATCGAGAAACACGACCAATTCACCCACGGTAAGATTATCTATACATATCAATATATTGTTCATTTCCTCGGGCATAAATGTATATATGCCAAGCAGCATGTAATATTCATCGTGAAATCACTAGATTTCATGGTCTTGGTATCATAAATATGTGCATAGATGATTTCAATACAATTTTTAGTTACATAATTTCACTATCTTGCATGACAAATTGGAAGCCTGTATATTTTCACAGGTATAGGTTTTCCTTTCGTACGTTATAAATATAATTCAATGTATCTGGCTTTCTTTCTTTCATCTATGGTATTATATTCCAGTATTGATATGGTTATTCGAATGATTCTGTCAAATAATTATTATATACAGGCTGTCCCATTCGGAGACTGGAAAATTTCAACGGTGGGTTGATCTCATCAAGGTGGTTCTGAATATACTATACTCGTAGGGTCTCACAAGTTTTTCATCCGAGATATAAGGTGTTTTATCAATTTCGTTAAATTTCTTCTGAAGAAATAACTTACGAACAACCTAGTATATTCTACTAAAATTTAGATTAACGAGATTTGAACATATTTCTGGACCACAAAAAGAACATGCACTCAGTATTTTTCAACTTCCAACTTACATATTCGGAGAGTACACAAAAAGCTGAATCGTATGGTGTACTTTTCATTTGCTCGCATGCTATTCCAATAATGAATTTATTATTGAACATCAGAAATTATTTAGTGAAATAGCATGCGGAAAAATGAAAAGTACACCATTCGATTCAGCTTCTTGTGCACTCCACAAATATGTAGGTAGATTTTGGAAATTCGAAAATACATGGTGTTATTTTTGGGGTCCAGGAACAGCCCACATCTCGGATTCAAAAGTTGAACATTACAGGATATTCCTTTTTGTGGGAACCAGATCATGAGAAAAAATGATATATTCAGAACCACCCTGATGAGCTCTACCCACCGTTTATATTTTTTCGTCTTCCAATGGTACACCCGTATAGCGGCAATTTTGAGAAGGTGTTTATGCGAGCTTCGTAATAGTCCGGAAGGAAACCCGTTCTGGAGAATTCAAAACTGTTCTTTGAATTCTTAATAGAAGCGCTCATATCATGTTCCTCTATCAGTTGAATAGATATTCCTGGAGAGGCTTTAGGTCTCTCGATCAAACAAGAAAACCTTTTTGAACCAAAAGTATTCGTGGCATCTGATAGTATGCTTCGAATTGTTCAAAAAACTTCCCTTGGGTGGTTTTCGACTAGTCCGTTCCTGCTCTCCTACAAGTGGATGATCAACATAAGCAAGTTAACCTCATACATGGACCTTTTAGATATGTTTTCCTCTAAAGGTGATTAAATCGAATGAATAAAAATATGTATATGAATCCAATATTCAACAATTCTTCATTTGAAAGGAATGTTCTCAGATGAATTATGAACATAAAAAATGGATATATGTATAGGTATATAAAGAAATTCAATGAGAATTCGCATCCTCTATGTAATGAAAATATCGATTCTTTCTCGGTTAATTCAACAGAAAACAACTACCTACTTTCCTGGCTATATACATTATATCATTCTATCATTCTGAATATTCAGCAGAAAATACCTACATTCCTGGCTATTTGCCACGTCAAATAATGAATTATATCTGTTGAACATCCAAAAGGAGAGCACGATAAGGTTTCCTCAATTCAGATTTTTTTTCCACGTCCTGTATGATGAATATCAATTCGTCATACATCCAAAAACAATTCATCAATACTTTGAAGTATCATGTTTTTATCAGACATTGTTTCTCCACGTAACTTTGTATAGTTGTCCATAATTGAGATTATATTCTGAATATCTAGAGAAAATTTCCGAAGACAATATTCACATAAAAAACTCATTTTGTGTAACGATGGAATTTTATTAGATCTTGCTATCATTAGTTTTCGTTTTTATTTCAATTAAACTATTGATTGCACCGATGACCTCTCCCAGAAAAGAATCCTGGAAGCGCCACTGTTTCTTTTCAAATTTTCTAGCATAGTCATCCTCTTCTGAGCAATGGTTGAAATTTCAAGAATCCAGCTCATCGGTTAGCTAGCTTGAAATCAATTAGGAAATTTCACCCTGAAAGGCATCGAGAAAGCGAATTGATGAGATCATGGTAAAATAATGATAAGGAATCAAATAACAGGAATAATGATCAAAAATGCATTTCGACTACCTTTTTTATTTGTTCATTCCTATATGCTTCATCAATCATTATGGTTATCGTCTATTCATTTATTGGTATATGTGCCCTGAAAGTTTTCCTGAAGCCACAGATACAGAGTATCTGAAAGTGTACAAAAAAAATAATAAAATAGAGATAAATCTAGGATACAGAATAGAATTAACGGTGTACTTACTCAAACAGTATGAAAATACATATGAAGATCATCGATGAGAATAAATACCTATCGAAGGAAAATGATAAATACATTATAATCGAAGACTATACAACAATATGATCATTGATACTATGAGATTCCATGTCACTCAAATAGTTCTTAAGTGATCACATCACTAAGCATCTAGAGTCCTCGATGGTATTTATTTCATCAGGAAAATTGTCGCGAAATCTAATGGCACCCTTGCTTTACCCACCCTTGCTTTATCTATACATCGTTCTTTCGGCTATCTCTTTATCCGTAATGATACTCTCCATGCTACTGAGACTTTAATTCAACCTTTGGCAAATTGAGTCGAGCCGAATATGTTCTGGCCGAAAAACCAATATTTTCACGGTCCAAGATCGTATTTAACACAAAGAAAACTCTTGCGGAGAATTCATTGACACATAAAACATCCCTCACCTTGATTAATCTGACCTCTGATCTCGAGAGCACTATACTTTATCTTCTCAACTTTTTCACGTCTCCAAACACGAAAAGGTGACACCAGGTGGAATTCATTTGAGTTTTTGTACGTTTTTCGATGTGTTCTTTTTCAAGACTACACACGAAACTTTACTGAGTACCTGTTAGAACCCCTGCCTGAATCTTATCGTAAAAAACCGATGTCCTTTTTTTATGTGATTGATGTTGGATTGCAAAGAAGAGCACTATATACAATTCGATAGATTCGCTCAACCATTTATGTACAAGGAATGGTCCGAGAGGTTTTCAGAATTAGATGTCCTATTTTCACAAATTATCTGGGCATTCAGAATTTGCGAAACATTCTGGAGACCATGTTGCCGAAATTACAAGAGAGTAAGAGAGAGTGTCTGCCTCCCCTATCCAAGGATGGTACGAGCGAACGAAATTCAACTTCAAGTAAATCAATTTCTAGTGAATTGGTATAAAACAACCTCTCTACTTGATAATTTACACAAACCCTTAAAACAATGCAAACACATCGTATACATAGATGACTGCGTGTAAACGCAATATAACGCTTTGAATATCTCTTAAATTATTCAACAAAGTCGGGAGCACGATGTTTACACTAAAACTTGTAGGGCTTGTCCTGATTTTTAACATTATTTGAACGTGAATTACCTTGGGTTTACAGTACATATAATTTTAATACCAATTTTGTGCCCTTGCGAAGAAGCTTATAACTACATAAATTTATTTTCCAAAACTCTGAAACACGTCGAGAAATGTTTTTGGAAAGACACTCTGTGAGTTGATAAAAATCTCCCCTTCTCCATCCCCCTCAACGTGACAACCACCCCTTAATTTTTTTTTTTTTATACCATTTAATGCATGAATGAAATCTAAAAAAAATCGAATGGCTATATGGACAATTGAATATATTTCAAAATGAGGTATCGCTCAACCCCCTATCTCATTCAAAGAAATTGAAGGGGTTGTTGTCACGTTGAGGAGGGTGAAATAGGGGGCATATTTTTTGTCACAGAGTTTCTCTTCAAGTTCTGAGCAACGACATAATTATACCTTCTAGACTGCTACTGCTGTATATTGGATTCTCATCGATAGATACGTATTTGAATCAATTCCACCACCACTGTTGAGCAGACTCAACAGTTGTATCAATCAAAATCTGAATGACTGGTTAAATCGCATGGCAAGTGATGGCCAAGATCTCAACACCAATCACTACAAGCGTACAATCTACTGTCATAGGGAGCATATTCGAAATTGAATTGAGGAAAGAACGAGCAATCCAGGGCCGGTGTTCTTATTCTGCCTTCCCGTTAATAACTACTCGACTCATCTCGTCTATTCCTATCCACCAGCCTCGTTCCACCAAACCTGATATACCTCGAAGTGTTTAGTGCCTTCTTTCTCATCCTAGTCTGAACATGTATATCATATACCGATAACTAGTCGACTATAAGTGGTCTCCGACATGACCATCACATAAACAATCTACGTTAGGTATCTCATGATGATCGAAATAGCAAGAGATACAGTATCTCACCAATAATGGTAACTCAAATCTGAAGGCGCCTACATTTACTCAAGGTCTCAGTCTGCCTACTCGAAGGAGTAGGCAGATTGAGACCTCAGAGTGAACCAGTGAGAGGAGATCTGGGGATTAGGCAGATTGAGACCCCGGGTCAAGTCACATACCTTCCGTGATATTAACTGAGGAGTAGGCAGATTGAGACCTCAGTGAAAAATCACTCCCTACATTTCCCTATCATCTTTTTATTTCTATTTTTCAGTTCTTGAAAATGGCTCCAAAATCGATGCCGAAATGTCGAACATCTACAGATTCTAGACGCGGTTCGACTTGATCCAAGTTTTCAAATTTCTGACCGCAGAAACCTATCCGAACACAATATATACATATATATATAAAGATGATGTACAACAGATATGATGATGTTCGACGTAGCAAATAGCCAGGAAAGAACTTCATATATACATGTGTCCATTTCTTCATATTCATGATATATCTGAGAATATATCTTTTCAATACTGAAATATTCATATTGGAGCGAATACCACGAGTAATTCTTTATATATTCTTGAAATCATGTCAGGAAACTATTCCAGATGCGATCTGTGATTTGCAGAAAAAGAGAAAGCAAAATAAGATTCATCTAGATCATAAAGGTATCAACAATTATAGATCTACTTATTATTATGAACTTCAAATCAACTAATTTCAAAAAGTAGCTATGTCATTACAGCTCAGACGAAAGTTTGACAACTCTTTCCATAATAACATAAATATTCAAAATCCTCTAGTGAATCATTAGACGCTCTGAATTTTCCTTTCATATGAAAGCAAAATGTATACGTTTCCTGAGCTTAATATAAGCCCTGGGAGTTGACGCTTAATTATTTAGAGCGTAGAAGGTATTTCAGTACATTGTATGTTTTGCACTCAAAAACTTTCTAGAGCTAATTTCCACGTGAATAGAAGGATAAAAACTGAAAATTATCGGAAGGTAAGTTTTCAGCACGTATATCGTCGTTCGCAGTTAGTGAAGTAGAAGATGATGTTGATCTAGTACATCTAGTACATTAACTTGAAGCTATCCTTCTTGATTGAAGATTATCGTCGCTGTCAGCACGAGAAAGTACGGTCGTGTTCAGGAAACATGTCGCACATGGACGATGGTAGCATTCTTAATGACTCCTGCAATAAGTGCGCTGCCACCGTCCAACCGCGACATGATCTCTGAAGACGACGGTACATACTATCTTACAAAAGTTTAGGAGAGCGGTTCGGAGAAGAAGTTGTGTTGATTTTGGTTGTAGCAATACCACCAATGTCTCCTTTCAATTGATTTCTTCAAAATAACGCATGCAGATATATCTACAGAGGGTCTGCCAACAGAAGCTTGAACTATTTTTCATCTATTGAAGCGAACGACAGGAAATTTCTATAATGTTTTTGCGAATCTAGGGAGGTTAGGGAGAGGAGGTAGGTGTTGGATTGTTTTTTGAACATTTGGAGTTTATGAGTTCTAGGTGATACTTCCATTGGCGAAGAATTCCGAAGCTTTGCCGTTATATTGACGAGCGAGTCTTGATAGTATTGCTTGTGATGGAATGAAATTTCTGGTGGAAGCATCTACGGAGCAGTAGAAGGTCGCTGACTTTTCTACGCTTTTCTAATGAAGCCGGAGGATTAGTGAGTGTGGCATCACTCAACAGGCAAGTGGCTCTCCTCTGGATAGAATCTGAGAGCATCAGCGTATGCATGTATGTTTGGGTGTTGAACTTCATATGTAAGAACATGCAGTATTCCAAAACTGGCCGCATCTGTGCTTTGTATGTTATAAGGAGCTTTCGTGATGCAGCTCTCGAGATGAATCACACATGATTTATCCATGAAAGAGGATTGCTGATGAAAATACCTTATAGAGATGGTGGTCTTGGTGGGAATGATGGTATCAGACATTGTTATATGAGCTCTGCAATCTAGAGAAATACATGTCTGACTTTTGGTGGTATTAAATTCAACTAGGTTGATGGTTTTCCAGAAGGCTATTTCAGAAAATGGAAATTCTAGAAAAGAACGCAGTATATAGAGTACGATCGTCTGCAAAGGCATGGATAGGGCAAGTGGTTGCTCTCATCATTATTATAAAATTGGAACAATATGTTGGTACAAAAATTGATTTTTGTGGAATCCCTGAACTGATGACAATGGTATCAGACGATACTCCGTCTACCACCACATGGAGCGATCTGTCTGGAAGGAAACTCGATAAGAGATGGCATAGCTGAGGTGGTAAGTCGCATGAGTTTGTGTATGAGTTATTGGTGCCAAACATGGTCGACCACCTTTGATATAGTCAACGCCACAGCTAGAAATATTCCATATTTCTCCTGAAGAAGCTTATTTCCAAATATGGGTGATGGAGGCAAGTAAATCTCCAATTCATCTTTGGTGGCGGAAACCATGTTGTCTATCATTGATGATTCCTGAGCTCTTCAGATATTTAATAAGCGCAATCTTGATCACTTCCTCCATCTCTTTGAAACTGATTGATAACAAGGCAATTGGCCTGAGTTGTTGGGCAGGTTTTTGTTTCCTTCCCTGGAGATTTGTTGGATTCTAGCTATTTTTTAGCGAGATAAGAAAACACCCGACTTGTACTAAATGGTAAATAAGTTACAGAGCATCGGTGTCAATTCTGGTGCACACTTCTTGAGAATAATGGGTGGTATTCTATCAGGACCGTTAGCTTCATTAGTATCAAAACTAGCAGAATGCGTCTGATAGTGCGTTGACGATAGATGATTTCGGGTATTCGACTTTCAAAGGGTGGAATGTCTAGCGGCACTATTCCCCAACATGTTCGCTTTGTCTTGCGATGTTGTTGCTATCGTGCCGTCGGCTCTGGAGGGTGATGGAAATGAACTATTAGGGAAATTCCTTCCGACTGCTTTAGCAAGGGACCAAAACGAACGGGAGCCATTGGAATAATCTATTAGTTCTGATATTATTCCGGCATTATATCATTATTTTGATGCAACTATTGTTTGACTGCAGTAGTTCCTGACTTCAACATATTTCTGTCAAGTCTCGTGGTCAGGGTTTTTGCAACAGCGATGGTACGCTGTAAGTGTGAAGGCATAATTCTCCAAACAGTTCTTGTTGGACCAGGGTTTCGAAGGTGATGATCTTTTCGAAGAATGAGGTATTCATTTGTCCATTCCAAGGATAATTTCCTCAGATATTTCCGCAGCACACTGTGAAGGATCCTTAGAATCGAAAAATATTCCACGCCAAAGAAACTCAGAGAAAAACATGCGGAGACTGTCTCAGCCTGCTGAGTAAGAGTGCCATACAAGACGTGGAATGGCTGGAGCAATTGATGGAAAGGAAAATGAGCAGGTTGTGTACATCTGTGTTGACTGATTGGTTAATCACATCGAGAATTCGTGTGGGTTTCTTTATAAGCTGCTCTCAGCTAAGTCATGAGTGCAGGCGAAAGCTGCGGCTCGTCGATCAGCTTCATCCGTTTTGTTGGAGTGTATGAGTCAAGCAGTGTTGTATTCATCGGAATCTTCCATGATGTTTATATCTGCTGCCAGATGGTTCTGCTAAATTTGATCAAAAGCATATGAAGTTAGGAAACCTATTTTTCTTTTCAACTCCGCCCGACATTTTCTATTTTTGGATGGAGCAGTTTTGGCACCCCAACCAACTTGATAGTTGCATACTCCTAACATCTAGCAACCCCGACTTGGAAAATTTGGATAGAACTACCCTATTTCCCACACCATAAGAGGGTGACAATTCGATATTAGGGGGATCGAAGAGTTAGAGGCGCAGGATGGAAATTTTCAATTCAGAGTAAGAAACTTGCTTCATGATAATATCATTTTCGGAAAATGATTTTGTCGAACTTTCCACTCATTATTTTTTATCATCAACTTCAGTGTTCAATCACTCGCACCTTGTATTCCAGTCTAGCCGATCAGGCATTAAGAGTACAATCAATTCAACGAATTCAAGGTTCAAGATGAATTGGCGACATTAAAAATCCCTAGTCCCTTCTAGTCATCTATCTCCATTTCTTGAATATGGGCAAATAAAAAAATAATCAAAACTCACTGGAATTATTGTCCCACCAATGAGGACGTGTTTATCTTGCTGCCAGTGTGCATACTAAAAAATTGCAACTCTTTCCAATTGATTCGATTTCATCCACAATTGCACAAGTCACATTGCGGTCTTCGAGAGTTACCAG